AAATCTCCTTAAGCTGATAAGCAACTTCAACAAAGTCTCAGGATACAAAATCAATGTGCAAAAATTACAAGCATTTCTATACACCAATAATAGACAAACAGAAAGCCAAATCATGATTGAACTCCCATTCACAATTGCTACAAAGAGAATAAAATATCTAGGCATACAACTAACAACAGATATGAAGGACCTCTTCAAGGAGAAGTACAAACCACTGTTCAAGGAAATAAGAGAGGATACAAACAATGGAAAAACATTCCATGCTCATAGTTAGGAAGAATGAATATCATGAAAATTGCCATACTGGCCAAAGTAATTTATAGATTCAATGCCATCCCCATCATGCTAACAATGACTTTCTTCACACAATTGGAGAAAATCACCTTAAACTTCATATGGGACCAAAAAAGAGCCGGCATAGCCAAGACAATCCTAAGCAAAAAACACCAAAAAAACAAAAAAAAGCAAAGCTGAAGTCATCATGCTATCTGACTTCAAACTATATTACAAGGCTACTGTAATCAAAACAGCATGGTACTGGTACCAAAACAGAGGTATAAACCAATGGAACAGAACAGAGACCTCAGAACGAACACCACACAACTGCAGCAATCCTATCTTTGACAAAGCTGACAAAAACAAGCAATGGGGAAAGGATTCCCTGTTTGATAAATGGTGTTGGGAAAATTGGCTAGCCATGTGCAGAAAGCTGAAACTGGACCCCTTCCTTACATCTTATACAAAAATTAACTCCAGATGAATTAAAGATTTAAACATGAGGCCTAACACCAAAAAAACTCTAGAAGAAAACTTAGGCAATACCTTTCAGGACATAGGCATAGGCAAGGACTTCATGACTAAAACACCAAAAGCGATGGCAATAAAAATCAAAATAGAAAAATGGGATCTAATTAAACTTAAGAGCTTTTGCACAGCAAAAGACAGTATCAATAGAGTGAACCAGCAACCAACGGAATGGGTAAAAATTTTTGCAATCTACCCATCTGACAAAGGGCTAATATCCAGAATCTACAGAGAACTTAAACAAACTTACAAGAAAAAAACAACCCCATCAAAAATTGGACAAAGTATATGAACAGACACTTTTGAAAAGAAGACATTTATGCAGCCAACCAACATATGAAAAAAAGCTTATCATCACTGGTCATTAGACAAATGCAAATCAAAACCACATCGAGATACCATCTTGGGCCAGTTAGAATGATGATCATTAAAAAATCAGGTAACAATAGACGCTGGAGAGGACGTGAAGAAATAGGAAAGCTTTTACACTGTTGGTGGGAGTGTAAATTAATTCAACCATTGTGGAAGACAGTGTGGCGATTCCTCAAGGATCTAGAAATAGAAATACCATCTGACCTAGCAATCCCTTTATTGGGTATAATACCCAAAGAATTATAAATCATTCTATTATAAAGACACATATACACATATATTTATTGTGGCAGTGTTCACAATAGCAAAGACTTGGAACCAACCCAAATGCCCATCAATGATAGACTGGATAAAGAAAATGTGTCATGTATACACCATAGAATACTATGTAGGTATAAAAAAGGATGAGTTCATGTTCTTTGCAAGGACATGGATGAAACTGGAAACCATCATTCTCAGCAAACTGATGCAAGAACAGAAAACCAAACACCCCATGTTCTCACTCATAAGTGGGTGTTGAACAATGAGAACACATGGACATAGGGAGGGGACCATCACACACTGGGGCCTGTGGGGTTGGGGGCTAGGGGAGGAATAGCAGGAGTTGGGGGAGTTTGGGGAGGGATAGCATTAGGAGAAATACTTAATGTAGATGACGGGGTGATGGATGCATGCAGCAAACCACCAACATGGCACATATATACCTATGTAACAAACCTGCATTATCTGTACATGTACCCCAGTACTTAAAGTATAATAAATAAATAATAAGAAAAAAATTATAAGCCAATATCCCTGATGCACATAGATGGAAAAAAATTTCAAAAACAACTGAATTCAAGAGCACATTAAAAGTATTATACACTATGACCAGGTGGGCTTTCTGAAATGCAACCATGGTTCAACATAAGAAAATTAATTAATGTGATACACTATACTACATAATAAATAATACAATTTACAGGATGAAATTAATAGATGCAGAAAAAGCCAATCTCAACTTCCTTTATAGGACCTTACACATATATTATTATGACCCTAATGCAAAAATCAAACAAAGCCAGTCCAAAAAAAAAAAAAAAAACTTTCAGATCAATATCTCTCATCAAAATTGGTGAGAAAAACCTCAAGATAATAACAGTCATGTGTAAAAAGAATTATAATTATACATGTCAGAACTTGGTTGTAATTTTTTAGGTTTGCAAAACTATTTCAAGATTTAAAAATAAATCAATTGGATTCACCATTTCAAAGGACCAGAAAAGAAAACTTGTAATCTTATCAATTGATATAAAAAAAGGATTTTCTATAATTAAATAACCATTAATGAAAAATAGAACAAAATAAGCTTTTAGCTGGCTAGAAATAGAGAAGAATTTTTTCAACTTGATACAGAGAATATAAGAAAACCTAAAGCCAACATTATTTTTTCATGATGAAAGACTGAATCTGTTTTCCATGAAATTGGGAATAGTTGAAGAATGTCTGCCCCCACTACTGTTATTCAACATGGTAATGGAAATTTTAGCAAATTACAGTGAGGCCAGGCAAAAAGAAAAAAAAGAAGGAAAGAAAGAAAAAAGAAAGAAAGAAAGAAAGAAAGAAAGAAAGAAAGAAAGAAAGAAAAAGAAAAGCAGACTGATCTATTGATTGAAAAAAGAAAATTGTCTATATTTGTAAAAGATGTGTCTATGTAGGAAATCTCAAGGAATCTATTAAAAAGCCCTTATATAACTATTATGTGAATTTAGCAAGATATGAAAATAGTAGATGAAACCCCAAAAAAGTGAATTGCAACTAGAAAATGACAACATACATGTGGAAACTAAAATTAGAACACAATATCATTGAAAATTATTCCAATAAAATGAAATAGTTAGGTATAAACCTAAAAAATGTACAGGATCTGAAAGCTGAAATAACAAAAACACTAGTGAAAGATATACATAAAAGACCAAATTAATTAAGAGACTTACTGTGTTTTTGGATTGGAAAACTTAACATAGTAAAGATGTCAGTTCTCCCCAAATTGATCTACAGATTTAACAGGAGTAGCTTTATTTAAATTTAAAATAAAAAAGCAAAATATCTAGAATAGAAAAGCTGAAAAAAGTTAAAAACTATAAGAAAGTGGGAAAAACCACTGTAGTTTATAAACCAGCAATACGTCCACACTTGGTCCATGGATTTTTGACAAAATAGTTAAAAGAACAATTCAAAGCAGGAAGGTAACCTTTTAGAAATATAAATAGTGCTGTAACTATTATACATCTAGTCAAAAGACTGAACTTTGATCTCAATATCATATCTTATACAAAATTACCTCAAAATAAATAAATAAATAAATGTAAAGTATAAAACTTAAAAAAAAAAAAAACAAAAACAAAAACCAGAAAGTCTTTAGAAACGAATGCTACATAGAGTCCATAGGTTTGATATGAAAACAACCAATCATAACAAGAATTGTTGATAAATTAGCCCTCATCAAAAATAAAAATTTTGATCTGTGGTAGACCATTTGAAAAGTAAGACAAATCAGAAACGGACAAAATATTTGCAAAGCACTTGTTTGAGAAAAGACATATTCAAAATACAGAAAAGTTAAAAATCAGCAGTAATCAGCAACCTTAAACTCCAAACTCTTAAGAGTGTTCTGCTTGTTTCCACCTCTGGTTGCTATCTATGGTCCAGACTATCTACAATAGGGGGTAAACTTAAACATGAAATTCACCTTCTGTGCTTATATTCTCTCAGGCACAAAATTCCTAATCTGCCTGTTGTCACATGTCTCAGAACAGGTGCCTCATGATTTTTTTTTCTTACTTCTAATTGTAATTTGGTAGGGAGGGAAAATCCTTTATCAGTTACCATACTGTAGATTTCATCATCTCTTAGTTCCAATATAGCAATAGAGTGTGACCCATCATTGGCATTCACTTCCTCCCAGTCATGTGAATAAATGTGTTACAGGGTAATAAATACCTTACAGGATGTAATAAATATCTTATAGGGTCAAGTGAACTTTCTTACATAATATCAAAACTTTCTTGACTCTTAAATGTCTTCCAGCCTGTAATCCCAGCACTTTAGGAGGCCAAGGCAGGCAGATCGCTTGAGCCGAGGAGCTTGAGACTAGCCTGGGCAACATGGTGAAACCCTGTCTCAACCAAAAATACAAAAATAAGCCTGGTGTGTCTTGCGTTTGTTGACTCAGCTACTTGGGAAGCTGAGGTGGGATCACCTGAGTCTGGGAGGCAGAGGCTGCAGTGAGCCAGTTTTGTACCACTGCATTCCAGCCTGGGGTGACAGAGCAAGACCTTGTCTCAAAAAAAAAAAAAAAAAAAAAAAGAAAGAGAAAAGCTTTTTAGCTATAACTCTAATTTTGCGATTTCACATATGGACCTATTAAGGTTCTGTACACTGTCTACTTTTTTCCATCATCACTCTCACTGGTTCCCTGGGGTCTTTCTGTAACCTAATGTCTACCATTTTCTCCACTGCTCAGGCCCTCTCCTATATCAATTGAAACTTCTCTGTGCGTCTTAGCTCCTTGACACACTTCCATCCCCATCCCCAAAACTCCTACTAATACTTTCAGACATACCTTAAATGTCTTTTTTTTGATAAATGATTCCTAAGTTCCAGATTTTTTAAAAAGTAGTCGTTCTATTCAATATGCTTTCATAGTAATTGCCACATTATATTTACTTTTGTGCTCTATTTTCTCAATAATTATGTGGGGCATAAAGTGTTAATTTCCTCCCTAGCAATGGCACCTTAACCACATAAAAATGTAATTTTACTTGGGAGAAACAAAAACTCACGTTTGAAAATGAAGAATCTTCATGCAATATTCCTGATTCATTGTATAAATACACCAAGAAACGTGGGTGTAAAAATGACCTAATTCAATCAAAATAAAGACCCTACATTGTAATTATTTCATTAATTAAAAATAATTTCCAGAATAATAAAATTAAACAAAATTTGCCTTCAATACAAACATCTAAACATGAAATGGACTTATTTCTATATTAACTTGCTGCTTTTTGATAGCATATTGTGAATATAAGAAAGAATAATAACCAGTATAATCAGAAAAAAGTGTGGGACTGCTTTAATGAATTCAAAATAATCAACTAGGGCTAGGTGTGGTGGCTCACACCTGTAATCCCAGTACTTTGGCAGGCCAAACCTGGAGGATTGCTTGAGCTCAGGGGTTCAAGACCAGCCTGGGCAACATATAGAGATCCCCCATCTCTACTAAAAATAAAAATAAATTGGTGGATCGTGGTGGTGTGTGCCTGTAGTCTTAGCTACTTGGGAGGCCAAGGCAAGAGGATGCCTTGAGCTCAAGAAATCTAGGCTGCAGTGAGTTATGATTGCACCACCACATTCCAGCCTGGGCGGCTGAATGGGACCCTGTCTCACAAATAAAATAAAATAAAATAAAATAAAATAAAATAAAATAAAATAAAATAAAACTGACAAACACAGATATATGTATAGTAATAAGCAGGGGTGCCAGATTTCAAAATAGGTTTTCTTTTAGATTCAACTGTAATTTTATGGCTCATATACCTTAGTTAATATTTGTTTAACAAGTAACAATAGATTTTATATATTTACGTTAGTTTTCATGATGTTATACTTTGGTAAAAACAACTCCAAAATTATTAAGTGTCTTAAAACAGCAATGAATGTCCTTCACAAGTTTACTAAAGATTCAGCTCCATCCTGCCTTCATTTTGGAACCTAGGAAAAGGCATAATCCCTCCCTGAAACAGTCTCAAAATGACAATCTGCAATTGATGACTAAAATGAATCACAGAGAAGATATAAAATGTTATTAAATAAATCTAATATTCATTTTCTTATTTAAGTTCAATTTAGGGTAGTGATTGTAAAAATTTAAGACACTAAAAATAATGAATGTTTTTCAATAACTTACTGTTTTTCAAGCAGGAAAGTGTATGATTTCCCCTCAATTTTGATGGAATAAGTGGCCTGTAGCAAAATGTTCAGAGGGAAAGTAATTGGTAGAGATTCTAACTTCGTAAAAGTTAAACATCACAGTTCCTTGAAACATATATTCATTCATACAAATGTAGATTATATCCTACATGTATCAAAATTGGCATGTATAACAATTATAATTTAAATAAACACAAGGAGTCTAAATTTCAAAACTCAGATCATTAATCATTAGCATGTATTATTATGAGACTTGAATTTAAAATGAGGATATTGTTTAGAAATGCTGAGAAACAGTTGAAGAAATTTGAATTTTGTTATCTTTGCTCTATTTTGCAGCTCTCAGCACAAATAAATTGAAAACAAAATAATACAGCACAGTTTCCCAGTTAAGAATAAAAGAATTATTGCCCAGGTGCCAGAAGTACTACCCACAAGCAATCCTCCTCTCCCCACACCCTTTTGCTATTGCCTTAGCTCAAGAGTGTCATCTCATACAAAGTCACAACTTTCTGAGAGTGCTCACATTTAATTAGAAGCCCCTCCATTTAATGGTGGTTTCTGGTTTCAGACAGATTTAGTATGGTGTTTCAAACAGATTAAGCATGATGATATCTTCATGATATATTGATATCTGTATCAATAATCAAAGTCCCTTTCATTTCCAGAACACTTTAAAGCAATTTTATTTTTTCAACTTTATTAAGCTATAACTGAAAAACAGGCCTTGTATTTATTTAAAGTGTACATAAGATGTATATGATGTTTTAACATACACATATATTGTGAATGATTAAAACAACCAAATTACTATATCCATCACCTCAGATAGTTACCATTTTATCATATGTGGTGAGAACATTTGAGATCTACTCTTAGTAAATTTTAAGTAAACAAAATATTATTATTAACTATAGTGACCATGATGTACATTCAGTTTTCTGAATTTATTAATCTTATAACTGAAAGTTACCCTTTATCCAGTGTCTTCTCTTTTCACCCACACCTCTAGCCCCTGGTGACTACTATCTAATTTATGTTACTACGTGTTTGAGTTTATTTTTAAGATAGTAAAAATAAGTGAGATCATGCAATATTTGTCTTCGTGTGTCTGGCTTATTTCACTTAGCATAATGTCCTCCAGGTACAACCAGGATGATGGATGGCAGGATTTCCTTCTTTTTAAAAAATGAGTATTTCCATTGTTTATTTATTGATCAATCGATCAATCATCTATCAATCTACATTTTCTTTTTCCATATACCCAGAGACAAATGACATACCATTTTGCCTGACATAGTTAAATGTATTGCTAAATATTTTATTCTTCATGATGGTATAAATTTTTTAAAAATTTATTCTTCGGCTAGTTTACTATATATGGAAACACAGCTTATCTGTTTTACGTTGGTTTTTGTATACTGTTAACTTTACTGAATTCATGTCTTCATTCTGACTTTTCTTCATATAGAATATTTATGATTTTCTATGTATAAGATCGTGTCATATGATAATAGACAATTTCACTTGGAGGCATTTTAGTTTATATTCTTGAATAATCCTTCTGGTGCAACTTCCACCCATGGTCAAGTCCAATAATAACATTAGTCTTAACTTGCAAGGAGGTAACTTTCTCTCATCTGATTGTGAAGGAAGGGCTATCAAAGAAAAGAAGGTCAGAGGACTTCCTAACGGAGGGGCTTTATGTCGGGGCCTGCACGGGCACTTCCTCTCTCTTGGCATAGACTGTGGTCTCTCGCAAGACAATTGAGGTGACTTAGGTCTTTCCTGCTTAAGACCAGGGGCTGCAATCCAAGTCCCATCTGTGTTTGGAGAAGGCAATACTCCATTTGGCTGTAGTTGGCCCCTCAGGTGTGGCTTGGGATTTCCCAAGTGTCCCAATCCCTTGGCCTCTTCATTGGAAGAGCCACATCTGCTGTCACTTGCACACTCCACGGTTGATGGGATGCAATTACTTAGTTTTCCTGTGCTTGCTTCCTGAGAGTAAGGCAGTGGCTGGTCTCAGATTTCTCTGAATACATGTGAGATATTATTTGAATGCAGCCAGATATACACCAATTTTTTTTTATTTATTTTTGAAGACAAAGTCTCACTCTGCTGCCCAGGCTGGAGTGCAAGGGTGCTATCTTGCCTCACTGCAATCACCTCTCCCGGGTTCAAGCGATTTTCCTGCCTCAGTCTCCCGAGGAACTGGGACTACAAGCACACGCCACCATGTCCAGCTAATTTTTGTATTTTTTTTCTTTTTTGGTAGAGACAGGGTTTCACCATGTTGGCCAGGCTGTTCTCAAACTCCTGACCTCAAATGATCCACCCACTTTGGCCTCCCAAATTGCTAGGATTACAGGCATGAGCCACTGCAACCCAGTCTGATCTCTTTACCATTTCCAGGCTTTTCTCCCCCAATCCTCCCTTTCTTCCTTCAGTACACACCCATAAAGCCCCATTAAGTAGTGGATACTGGAGATAGCAGAGTGAATAAAGCACAGCCCTTCTGAGTGCAGTGTGGGTGTCAGACAAGAATGTTGGAGATTATGATAGTCCAGTCTCCTGGTGGAAATGCAGGGGGACTGACCGTGGGAATGCACAAAAAGGTGGCCTAGCCCAGCCTTGAGAGGGGTTTGCAAGGGAGGCTTTGTGGGCCCCAGTGGGTGAGGACATGAATTCTGGCTTCCACTGGGCCTCCACTGAGTGTCCTTGGCTAGGAGGAGTCAAAACACCTACAGGAAGAAGCTGAGGCACAAAATACAATTTTAATGGAGTTAACTCGAGTTGAAGTGAGGACGGCTATCCTTGGCCTTTGTTACAAGCAGGTTTTATTTTTTTTCTTTTTCCTTTTCTTCTTCTTCTTCTTTTTTGGATGGAGTTCAATGTTTAACACTAGTGGGGAGACTGGGCACCAGTGTCATTTTCATGATATTAGAGGGAAAATTTTCAGTTTTTCCATATTGAGTATGATGTTAGATGTAGGCCTGTCATTTATGGTCTTTATTATTTTGAGGTAAATTCGTCCTATGCCCAATTAGTTGAGGACTTTAATCATAAAAGAATGCTGGATTTTGTCCAAAGCCTTGGCTTTATCTATTGAGATGAATGATATGATTTTTATCCTTTATTCTCTTAATGTGGCATATACATGTATTCATTTGCATATGTTTAACAATCCTTGAATTCCAGAAATAAATCCCAGTTGATTATGACATACAGTCCTTTTATTGTGCTGTTGAATTTGGTAGTATTTTATTGAGGATATTTGCATCTTTGTCCAGGGATATTGGCTCATGTTTTATCTGGGAGTATCTTGGTCCGACTTTGGTGTTAGAGTAATATTGTAATATTGGCTTCATGAAATAAGTTTGGAAGTGCTCCTCTTCAATTCTTTGGAAAACTCTTTGAGAATAATCATTATTTACGCGTTTTTTTTCTTTTAAAATGTTTGGTGGAAATCACCAGTTAAGTCACCTGGTCCTGGACCTTTCTTTGTAGGAGATTTTTGATTACTGATTCAGTCTTACTTGTTACTGATCTCCCCAGATTTTCTATTTTCATTACTCAGTCTTTGCAGATTGTGTTTCTAGGATGCTGTCCATTTCTTCTATGTTAGACAGTTTGTTGGCATAAAATGTTCATAGCCTGATGCCTTTACTTGGTGATGTCAATTGTAATGTCTCCTCCTTTAATTCTGGTATTGCCTATTTGAGCCCTCTGCTCTTCCTAGTATTGCTAAAAGTTTATTAATTTTGTTTATATTTTTAAAAACAGAACTCTTAGTTTTGGTTGCTCTATTCTATGGCTATTTTACTCTTTTCTTTTTTTTACCTTTTGGTTTCTTCTTGGATCAACTGGTTGTTTAAGAAGATATTGTTTAATTTCAACTTATGTAGGAATTTTCTGTTTTTCCTCGTTACATCTAATTTCTTAACATTGTAGTTAGAACAGATGCTGGTTATGATTATGATTATACATTTCCTAAATTTGTTAAAATTTTTTTTGTGGCCTAGTATGATTTATTCTAGAAAATGTTACATATGTACATGAGAAGAATGTGTAGTCTGTTTCTATTTGATGGAATGTTCTACAGAGGTCTTTTAGGTCCATTTGGTCTAAAGTACAGTTTAAGTCTAAATGTCCCTTATTAATTTTCTGCTGTATAAAACTGTCCATTGTTGAAATTGGGGTATTGAAGTTCCCGTTAATATTATTATTTCTCATTTCAATTCTTTAAATTTGCTTTATACATTTAGGGGGCTCTGTGTTTGGTGCATATATGTTTTAAATTGTTATATCTTCCTGATTAACTGGCCATTTATCATTACATTACAACTTTTTTTGCCCTTTGCTATGGTTTTTGACTTAAAGTCTATCTTTGTCTCATAAAAGCATAGCAACCCTCCTCTTTGGATTTTAATTTCCATGCAGTATCTCTTTTTATTCCTTCACTTTCAGTCCCTGTATATTCTTAAAGCTCAAGTGTGTCTCTCTCAGGCAGCATATCTTTGGATACTTTTAATCCATTCAGATACTCTATGTCTTTTGGTTGGAGAGTTTATAGTCCATTTAAATTTAGAGTAATTATTGCTATGAAGACTTACTATTGCCATTTGATCATTGTTTTCTGGCTGTTTTATATGTTTCATGCATTTTTCCTCTCTTGCTGTGTTCCTCTGTGATTGATGTTAACCTGCAGTGGTATCTCTTGATTCTTTTCTCTTTAATTTTTGTGTATTTACTATAGGTTTTTCTTTCATAGTTTACCATGAGGCCTACATGAAATATATAGTCATATCAGGTTAGTTTAAGGTACTAGAAATTTAACTTCAATCACATAAAAACTATATACTATCATTTCCACACCTGTGCATAATTTTATGTTATTTATGTCACATTTTCCATCTTTTTATATTTTGTATTCATTAACAAACTATGGCAATGATAGTTATTTTAACACTTTAGTCTTTTAACCTTTGCATTAGAGTTATAAGTGACTCATATACCTCTATTACAACATTATAGTATTCTGAAATTGACTTATATTTGCCTTTACAGTGTGTATTACACTTCCATATGTGTTCCTATTATAATTTAGCCTCCTTTCATTTTAGCTTAAATAACTCCTCTTAGCATTTCTTATTAGGCAAGCTCAGTGGTAGTAAACTTCCTCAGCCTTTATTTGTACAGGATATTTTTTAATCCCTCATTTCTGAATGACAGCTTTGTCAGGTAAAATATTGGTTATTTATAAACTTTTAGTTATGTTCCTATGCAATTTTCAAGTGCATATCAAATTTCTGTATGTAATTTCTTCATTTTTTTCCATTATTTATTGATAATATCCATCATCACTGGTTTTTCTTTACCCTGTGAAATATATAAATATACATCTACAAACTTCTAAATGCATTTTTGAGTGCTTTAAGTTTTATCCTAATTGTTACCAAATGACTAGTTTTACACTACCAGTATTTGAATTTTAGTTTTCTTTCTTTACTGTCATCAATTTTGTTGACTGTTTTACATATTGTTCAGAAAAATGTGCATTACTTATAGTGGCATAAAGCTAAATTACAACTGGATTGGAAAACCTCTATCTTTAGATTTGGGGATCCCTACATATCTGGAGATTTCAGATTCTTATCCAAAACAAAGGCAGTGATATTTATAATTGGCTTTTAGGGCTCAAAATATCCCTGGCCAAGGGAGCCTCCTCAGTGTTTGCCTAAATATTTTGACAAGTCCTACTTGACTACTTAAAGAATCACTGAAAGATTTCAGCTGAGTTCTCCAAAAGCCAAAATTTCTCCTGTAGTTCTTGTTGGTGGAAGTCAAAGTCTCAGTATGCTTTAGGAACACAGAGATTGTGTTCCTAAACAGGAAGCTCACAGTGAATGTTTCTCCAATTCATGTGTGATAAACTGCAGAGTCCAGTGAGTCCTAAAAAAATCAGAACTGGAGAAAACAATACATTTATTCCACTGGATTCATGTTCTATATATGTCCACTGGACAAAAATTATTTTTATTGTTCAAATTTTCTTTATCTTTATGAATATTCTTATGATTTGTCAACCAACATTTGAGGAAAACATTTTAAGATCTCACTATGGAAATGCATTTGACAATTTCTTCCTCTAGAGCTATGAATTTTCACTTTCTAGGTGCTGAATGCATTTTATTAAATTCATACAACTTTAGAATTCTCAAATATTCCTAGTGAGCTGAACATTTCATCCTTAAGTAATAATGCTTACCTCTCATAATGGTGTATGCGAGTGTGTGTGTGTCTGTGTGCATTAGTGGAAATGAGAAAACTGAACAAAGTCTGGTGACAGTTCAAAAAGATACATATCATTATAGTTTGTTAGTGAGAGTCAAATGCCATGCAACTTTTCTGGAAGATATTCTGCAATGTTTACAAAAAATTGTAATGGCTTGCCCATTGATCCTACATAAACCAACTATCAAAGAAGGTTTATGAAATTATGAGTCAAAATTTTAATAAGATATATGATGTTACATCCATATGACATTTTATGAAGTTATGAGAGTGACAGTCATGTTTATTACCATAAAAGTAAATCTAATATTTATAAATAAATGAAAATGTCAATTACAGTCATATATAATCATTAAAAATATATGTGCCCATGTGCATGTGTGTCTAAATGTTCATTTAGTACAAATTTATTACTTTCAGAGACTGGTGTGGATATTTACTTTATTCACAATTCTCTGTATCACCTCAATTTAATTTTACAATGTACATACTTTCCTACTCTAATCAGATAAAAGATAAAATCCCTTTCATTTTTACAAAGGATTTATATATATATGTATAGATATGAAGATAGTCCTTATATATTGCCATGTTAAAAACATGTTGCTCAGTAAAAATTAGTATAACCTAAATTATATAATAATACAGACTTAAATGTACATATTTTCTAAAAGAACCCAGTAGACTGTATATGTTCCTTTGTGTTACAGAAATTTGGGGATTCTTTTTCTGAATCTTTATTTTAAAACAGTTATCTAACATTCATATATTAATTGAGAAATTAAAATAAAAAAAAACAACTCTGTCATTCAGACCAAATGATTCCTTAGCACAGTGAATTAGAACACAAACAAAATTTCACAAAGGGATATGTATGAATTGATTAGGGCCACATAGTCCAGAAAAAGAAAACACCATAATTTTAAAAGATGATCTCTTAGTTACATGTGTTTCTGAAACATCGCCATCATCGGTGTTTGTCTGGATCTTCCGTGGTACTGTAATTTGCAGAATGGGTGTTTCAGAATCTGCATGAGGAAAAGCGTATGTGAGCACTCCCATTGTATCATGTCACAGCGTCCTTTCTTAACACACACACACACACACACACACACACACACACACACACACACACTGTCCGTTTCCAAGAAGAGGCTCTTCCAGGCGTGGGAGGTTTACCTTACCGTACCCAAGGACACTTTAGGGCTTGGTGACCTCAGTCCTGTGTGGGAGTAGTGTGGGCTGCAGGTCTCAGACCCTATCTAGCATCGCCCTTCCTGATGCAGCCCGGGGTCCCACACTTGGTGGACGGCTCTGAGGGCCCCCTCCCCAGCCTGGCCTGAACTTCTGGGCCCTGCGAAAGGCCAAAGGGGAAAGGCAGCCTCCTCTCTTGCAGGGCTTTTCACTTACTCGGGCCCGCGATGGTCAGAAGGCTCAGGCCTGAGAGGATCAGCAAGAGAGACAGCATTGCGTGGCCGGTGGCCCAGCCGCAGAGATGACCGTTGTCCTTGGAACGGCTACAGCTCGCGGCTAGGGCTGTGGAGGCCAAGCGGAGCCGAAGGGCGGTGGGGTCTGCGGGGCACAGCGGGGACCCACTCCGTGGATTCCAAGGCAGGTGGAGCCTACAGCCCGGCGCGCCCAACCATAGCTGGCTGCACTGGGAGCCTGAGCTTCTGCCACACGGGCTTCTTTTTCAAAAAGCTTGACATTTACAATGCATTTGGGGGTAACATAGGGTTATAAAGTACATTTCTACTCTAGACCTTTTGCTGGTGAAGTCTTGGCAATATGACTATTCCATATCATAGCCTTTGGGAAGACGGTTGAATTACTGTAGTGAAGGAAAACAGAAAAAAATAGGAATCACAATATGTTTAGTAGCAGCCAATTGCCAATATTAGTTCTATCTACTTCCAGTTTTCTGCTCTTAAGATTCAGATCAAAACACAAACACACAGGAAAAACTAAAAATCAGTTTCTTAGGAAACTAAGGACTCTAAATAAAAAGCAAAATATGAATATATGGCTATGTCTTATTATTTTAGTACAATTTATAAGTATCAGGCAAAAAAATCACACATGACTTTATAAAAACAATCAACATTCATTTATTTATTAACTTTTCTACACTTTGTTTCTTAGAAAAACTTTATGGCTTAGGGAGACTAAATGAAAAGCCAGACATATTTTTGCCCATCAGTATGGAGTTAACACAAGGAAGGATAACATAGTTACGTAGAAATAATTTTATTTTATCTCTTACTATGTAGGTAAGTGGTTTACCTAATTTCAATTTTTTCACAATTTATTATCTATTGTAACTTTTATTGTAGTAAAATACACAATATAAAAATTATGGGCTTAATGCTTTATGTTTGTTTGTTTTTAATGCTTTTTGTTTGTTTGTTTTAGATGGAATTTTGCTCTTGTTGCCCAGGCTGGAGTGCAATGGCACAAACTTGGCTCATCACAAACTCCACCTTCCAGCTTCGAGCGATTCTCCTGCCTCAGCCTCCTGAGTAGCTGGGATTACAGGCATGTGCTACCACACCAGAGACGAGGTTTTTCCACATTGGTCAGGCTGGTCTCAAATTCCCGACTTCAGGTGATCCTCCCACCTCAGCCTCCCAAAGTGCTGAGATTACAGGTGTGAGCCACCATGCCTGGTGATCTTAATGCTTTTTAAACCTACTTTTCAGTGGAATTAAGTACATCCATATTGCTGTGCAACCATCATTATCATTCATTTTCAAAACTTTGGATGTCACCAATTTTTACATAAACTGATTTATATTTGTGATTTCACGTATAGCTTTGTGTGCCTAACACAAAAATTGACATACATATTGATATACATGAACTATTTAATGACCACAAGGAACCTATATACTATGGTTATAGAGTATACTGACCTACCTTACTCCTAATTTCTAATCCCTGGCAAACTCTAATCTAGTCTCCATTTTTGTAATATTATTTTTGGTAATATGTATATAAGAGATATTTTATAGTATCTCTTGAAATTTGTTTTTTTCAGATTATTCCCTTGAGATAGATCAATTTTTTTCTTGTATTAATAATTCATTCTTTATTATTTGTGAGTAGTGTCCATAACATGAATATTCCACAGGTTATTTAACCATTCATCCATCAAAGGATATTTTGGTAGTTTCTAGTTTTTAAATTTGCAAAATACATTGCTATGAATATTCATGTACATGTATTTATATGAATGTAAAATTTCATATCTCTATGATAATTCCTAAGAATGAAATTGTTATGTTGTATGATAAAAGCTAAGAAACTGCCAAGGTAGTTGTGATGGTGGATACTGAGGGTCAAGTTGATTGGATTGAAGGATACAAAGTATTGATCTTGGGTGTGTCTGTGAGGGTGTTGCCATGACAGCATGGCTAGAATATAAAGCAGGCAGAAAAACCTGAAAGGACTACACTGGCCTAGGCTACCAGCCTACATCTTTCTCCTGTGCTGGATGCTTCCTGCCCTTAAATATCAGACTCTAAGTTCTTCAGTTTCGGGACTCAGACTGGTTCTCCTTGCTCCTTAGCTTGCAGATGACCTATTGTGGGACCTTGTGATCATGTGAGTAAATACTTAATAAGCTCCCCTTTATAGATATATAAATTTATATACATAATATATATATTATATATAAATATATATCTATATTTCATTAATTCTGTCCCTCTAGAGACCTCTGACTAATATAGTAGTTGAACCAATTTTTATTTCCTGCAACAATGCATGATTGGTCCAGATATTCCGTATTCTCACCAAGGTTTGTATTGTCACTATTTTTAAATTTTAGTCATTATGTTTCACCAGGCCTGCCTTACAAGAGCTCCTGTAGGAAGCACTAAATAAGGAAAGGTAAAACTGGTACCAGCCACTGCAAAAACATACCAAATTATAAAGACCATCGACGCTATGAAGAAACTGCGTCAACTAATGGGCAAAACAACCAGCTAGCATCGTAATGAAAGGATCAAATTCACACACAACAATATTAACCTTAAATATAAATGGGATAAATACCCCAATTAAAAGATACAGAATGGCAAATTAGATAAAGAGTCAAGATCATTGGTGTGCTATATTCAGGAAACTCATCTCATGTGCAAAGACACATAAAGGCTCAAAATAAAGGGATGGAGGAATATTTACCAAGCAAATGAAAAGCAACATAGCAGAGGTTGCAATCCTAGTCTCTAACAAAACAGACTTTAAACCAACAACATTTAAAAAAGACAAAGAAGAGCATTACATAACTATAAAGGGATCAATGCAACAAGAAGAGCTAACTATCCTAAATATATATGCACCCAATAAGGAGCACCCAGATTCATAAAGCAAGTTCCTAAAGACATACAAAGAGACGTAGACTCCCACACAATAATAGTGGGAGACTTTAACACCCCACTGTCAATGTTAGACAGATCAAGGAGACAGGAAATTAACAAGGATATTCAGGACTTGAACTCGGACACACAGCTACAGAACTCTCCACCACAAATCCACAGAATATACGTTCTTTAAGCACCACATCACACTTACTCTAAAATTGGCTACATAATTGGAAGTAAACACCCCTCAGCAAATGCAAAAGAATGGAAATCATAACAAACAGTCTCTCAGACCACAGTACAATCATGTTAGAATTCAGTATTAAGAAACTCACTCAAAATCACACAACTACATGGAAACTGAATAACCTGCTTCTGAATGACTACTGGGTAAATAACAAAATTAAGTCAGAAATAAATAAGTTATTTGAAACTAATGAAAACAAAGACACAATGAGCCAGAATCTCTGGAACACAGCCAAAGAAGTACTTAGAAAGAAACTTATAGCACTAAATGCCCACGGGAGAGAGCAGAAAACATCTAAAATCGACACCCTAACATCACAATTAAAAGAGGTAGAGAAGCAAGAGCAAATAATTTCAAAAGACAGCAAAAGACAAGAAATAACTAAGATTAGAGCAGAATTGAAGAGATAGAGACACGAAAGACCCTTCAAAAAAACCAATGAATCCAGGAGCTGGTTTCTTGAAAAGATCAACAAAATAGATAGACTGCTAGCCAGACTAATAAAGTAGAAAAGAGAGAAGACTCAAATAGACACAATTAAAAAAATGATAGAGTATATCACCAGTGATCCCACAGAAATACAAACTACCAACAGAGAAATACTATAAACACCTCTATGCAAATAAACCAGAAAATCTAGAAGAAATGGATGAATTCCTGGACATATACACCCTTCCAAGACTAAATCAGGAAGAAGTCAAATCCCTGAATAGACCAATAACAAGTTCTGAAATTGGAGCAGTAATTAATAGCCTACCAAGCAAAGAAAACCCAGGATCGGAGGGATTCACAGCCAAATTCTACCAGATGTACAAAGAAGAGCTGGTACCATTCCTTCTGAAACTATTCAAACAATAGAAAAAGAGGGGCTCCACCCCAACTCATTTTATAAGACCAGCATCATCCTGATACCTAAGTCTGGCAGACATGCAACAAAAAAATAGTATTTCAGGCAATATTCCTGATGAAAATCCATACCAAAACCTTCAATAAAATACTGACAAAATGAATTCAGCAGCACATCAAAATGCTTATCCATCATGATCAAGTCAGCTTTATCCCTGGGATGCAAGGCTGGTTCAACATATGCAACTCAATAGACATAATCCATCACATAAACAGAACCAATCACAAAAAAACACACTTATCACAATAGATGCAGAAAAGGCCTTCATGCTAAAAATTCTAAATAAAGTAGGTAGGAATCGCCATACTGTCGTAACTCAAAATAATAAGAGCTATTTATTAGAAACCCACAGCCAATATCATACTGAATGGCAAAAGCTGGAAGCATTCCCTTTGAAAACTGGCACAAGACAAGGATCCCGTCTAGCACCATTCCTATTCAACATATGGAGGTTCTGGCCAGGGCAATCAGGTGAGAGAAAGAAATAAAGGGTATTCAAATAGGAAGAGAGGAAATCAAATTGCCTCTGTTTGCAGTTACATGATTGTATATTTAGAAAACCTCATCATCTCAGCCCAAAATCTCCTTAAGCTGATAAGCAACTTCAGCAGTCTCAGGACACACAATGTGCAAAACTCACAAGTATTCCTATACACCAATAATAGAGAGCCAAATCATGAGCGAACTCCCGTTCGCAATTGCTACAAAGAGAATGAAATACCTAGGAATACAACTTACAAGAGATGTGAAGGACCTCTTCAAGGAGAACTACAAACCACTGCTCAAGGAAATAAGAGAGGACACAAACAGATGGAAAAACATTCCATGCTTCCAGCTTCCCTATCTTAGTGTGCCCAGAGAAAGGGAAAGGAATGTGTTTACTAAGGCCCACTGTTTTTACTGGGGTATGTATGTGAAGTTTGGTGATTACCCAGGAAGTTCCCCAGTTGCTTATCTGTGTTTTATAGCCTGATCTTCGAGGCTGCTCTTTG